GAAGTTGTGACACTTCAGCTATACTAAATAAAGTCTACCACTGTGTCCAGATTTCATTCACCCTACTAAGTAAGCTGAGAGACCTCCAGCTATGTGAACCAACACATTATATCCTGAATTTCTAGTAAGTGCACCTGTATAAGTGTTTTTGAACTGCTTCCATTTGTAATTTCTTCTTGAGTGAGAAGTCTTGGTTTATTCTGAGTTCAAGCCCTAGTATCAACTACAAACATTTTGGAAAGACAAATAATAACTAGAACATTGCCTTTTTGTCTACATTTAATAAAAACCATTCTCAGGTCCTGACATTTCTGAGGGCAGCGAGTCAAAAGTTTGTGATCCTATTATACAGAGTGAAGTGAGTCAGAAAGAGAAAGATAAATACTGTATTCTAACAAATATATATGGAATCTAGAAAAATGGTACTGAAGAATTTATTTACAGGGCAACAGTGGAGAAACAGACATAGGGAATAGACTTATGGACATGGGGGAAGAAGAGGGGAGGGTGAGATGTATGGAAAGAGTAACATGGAAACTCTCATCACCATGTGTAAAATAGAGAGCCAAGGGGAATTTGCTGTATGGCTCAGGGAACTCAAACAGGGGCTCTGTATCAACCTAGAAGAGTGGGATTGGGGGGGGGGGGTTTCAAAAGGGAGGGGATATATGAATACCTATGGCTGATTTATGTTGAGGTTTGACAGAAAACAGCAGAATTCTGTAAAGCAATTATCCTTCAATAAAAAATTAATTAATTAAAAAAAAGTTTGTGATCCTGTAACATCACTTTCTCTATTATCTCAGCTATAATATGAGAGGATTGAGAAGCTTCTGACACACCACATTCAGAGCATGTAATATATCTAGTGCCTGCACAATGTGCAAGGCAAGACTGGAGGAATGGATATGAAACAGATTCTGTCCTTCGTTCTAGTAAGGAATCTGTAATGACATTCCTAGGGCTTTCCTGGTGTCTCTGATGGTAAAGAATCTGCCTGCAATGTGGGAAACCTGGGTTCGTTCCCTGAGTCAGGAAGATCCCCTGGAGGAGGGCATGGCAACCCACTCTAGTATTCTTGCCTGAGGAACCCCTATTGGACAGAGGAGCCTGGCGGGCTACTATCCACGGGATCTCTAAGAGGCGGACATGACTGAGCGACTAAGCACAGCACATTGACATTCCTAAACAAAATAAGTGAAGGAAAAGTGGAAAATATTTCCAGGAGCAGATATTAACGACTTACAGAGGTACCTATTTAATGATATAAGGAAAGAAATTCTGGGTACCATAGGGGTGTCTTGGAGTAGGAAATGACAACCCACTCCAGTATTCTTGCCTGGAAAATTCTATGGACAGAGAAGGCTTGTGGGCTACAGTCCCATAGGTTGCAAAGAGCAACTGAGCATAGGGGTGTCTGTTCATGTCTACATAGGAGTGTCACTAGAGAGACTGACTGTCAGTGTGAGGGGTACTAGAACTTAACATTTCAGAAGGGTACTTCTAGATATCAATAATACATGGTCTGGAATGAATCTGTGTTGGTGGGTTGTTCAAGTATAATGAAGATGAAGGGAGCTGAAACTAAAAAAGAAAATCCTATACTTTTTTACCCTGTATTTTCAGTTTTAATAACTTAAAAAAAGAACTACTTCATCAGCTCTTTTCATGTGAAGTTTGAAAAGTGTTCAGCTAATTTTGATAATTCCTCCTAGAAGGCAGGGTTACTTATATCAGTGATGCTCACTTGAAATCATTAAGTCTAATTCCCTACATGTATTTTCAGAATAAATACAGGTATTTTAAATTTAACAAAGTAAGTCAATAGAGACTAAAATATACAAACATAAAGCCTATTGAGAAAAAAATAAATAAGACAATTCAGGATTAAGTTCCACTCTTGTTGCCATACAAGTTATTGTTACCACAGCAACCATAACAGTCTTATAAAAACACAAGTGATTTTTTTATCACTTTAAATATCATGTTGTCACTCTCTGTAATAGTTTTCTCTCTTACTCAGAATAAAATCTTTGCCATGGCCTCTAAGACCCTGCGTGGTCTGATCCCTGCCAGTCAATCAAGCCTTATTTCCTATGATTCTCTCCTAGGAAGAGAGAAGTTTCTGTGCTCTAGCAGGTCTGGCTAACTTTTCCATTCTTTGAACATGTCAAACTTGTTTTCAGCTCATGCCTTTTCCCTTTGCTGTTTCTCATCTTGAAAGTCTCTTGTATCTTTCTAGGATGGGCTCTTGCTGTCCATTTAGGTCTCAACTGAAAAGAATCTTACCTGACAATTACATCTACATCTTCATCCCACCCCCAGCACATACTGTCTATCCAATTATCTTGTTTTAGTCGTGGTATTTATCACTAAAAACCCTTACTTACATTGTTTGTTAATTCCCTTCTCCCTGTTCCCATGACAGCAGAGTTGCTATCTGTATGTCACACCCTTGTATCCCCAGACACTAGACCAACTCTGCCTGGTACAGAATAGTCTTGAATGTGTATTTGTTTTGCTATTGAAAGAAATAAATACCCAGGGAAATGAAAGTTCAAGGAGAGAGTTCTGAAAAGCTTTCCTAGAATGGGTAGGGGGCTGCTGTTGCTGCTGCTAAGCCGCTGTAGGGGGGAAAGGGGGTAATTAGTGAAATCTCCTTTGATTATTTTTTATGAATCTAAGAAGACTCATTTTTAAAATATTTAAATGACAGAAAAAAGACATACTACCTAATTGTAAAAAATTCAAAAGAACCACTCCCCCCCACATACACATTAATAGGGACTAAGGAGATGAAATTGGTGATATTGAAACTCAGTTTTCTATCTTTCCCTAATACATGGACTTGTCTACTCACACCTACTTTTTCTTTTTAACACAGTGACTAAATTTGTTATAAAACAGACTCTTTGCATACTGTCAGAGTATGCTCTGCAAAGACCACCTGCATCAGAATCATATTAAGTGCTTGTTAATGCAGATCCCTATGCCTTGTTTAGAATTGGGATCCAGGAATCTGCTGGCTACAGCAAGTTCTACAAGTGAATATTTTATGTCCCTGAAGCTTTAGAACTCTCACCTCTCGACCCACTCTCGAGGAGTGTAAGACCATCTGTCATAACAACTGTAGATGAAAACTACACAGATTGCTTGGACAATGAAATGGGAGTTGTTGTTGTTTCTTTTTTTTTTTTTTTCCTGCCGAATCAGGGTAGCTCCCTTATTCCCTTCCTTCCTTGGTTTCTTCTAAAACTGAGAGTGGTAACTTCAGTTTAGGTTCCTTACAGTTTTCATAGTCTTGCTATGCGTGTGTGCCTATATACTCAGTCGTGTCTGACTCTTTGCAGTGCTGTGGACTGCAGCCCACCAAGCTCTTCTGTCCATGGAATTTCCTACTCCAGGGGATCAAACCCAAGTCTCCTGCATTGTTAGGAGGATTCTTTACCTCTGCACTACCTAGGAAGCCCATACATACTTAGAGACTCAAAACAGATTTTGGTTGCAAAGAAAGAACTGTTTCTCTGCCCCCAAAATGGTAGACTTAATATTACTCTATTAGTATTATTTCCCTTTAATCTCTGCTTTGGTCTTTCTCATCCTGTGATTTCCCTTATTTCAAATCCCTTTCTGCTTTACTGTAAGGGAAAGAGCTCAGGGAATGATGAGACTATTAGCTTATTGAAGAGTATGTCTGTGCTACTTTGGAGCAGTTAACACAGTATCATGGCAAGCAGAATATAACAGGAGTGACTCTCTTCACACATGTAGTTTATATGATTTAAATAAAGTTTCAGAAGACACAAAGGAAAGTATATGTTTGCCATCTGAAACTATGGCTTCAAAACCTGGCCTCCTCTTGTAGAGGTGTATTATTATCTTTTATTCCCAAACCCCATAGTTATGAAAGGCTTCATTTCTTCTAAAGCCATAACTTGTGTAATTTGTTGCTTTTGGAATTCGTTGCTGATTTTTCTCTATTTTATCTACCAGAAAACACTATAGAAATGTTCTGAAATAACTTTGTAGGCAGTCTTGTTGCTTTGTTGTTTTGACATTTATCCCTTTTAGTCTTCCTATTGGCAGAATTTTAACTTTTTCATTATTGTATAGTTATTTAGTTACAGTTTATCTCGTTATTTTTCCTCTTTTTATCCACTACCATTGTCTGTCCTTTAAACACAAAACTTTCCTTTTATATGACCTCAGGTCCCTTTTCAGCTTTGAATTTTCTTTGTCCTGTAGGGTCTTAAATGTTCCAAAAATTAATCTCTCTCTTTATCATATTTTCATGTCTTTTCTGATGTGGAAATATACAAAACTGAAATTCCTTGACACTTAACTAAAGCCGCTCTTTAAGCCTTTTTCTGCCTGTTTTATCTTCTCTACAATACTTTTTGCTGTATGGAATTATTTGCTTTTAAAATAATCACCTGTCTAGTCTGTCACCACCACCACCACCACCACCACCACTGGAATGTAAGTTTTCAGAAGGCAGAGACTCTATCATAGACTTTATTGTAGTCCAGCACCTAGAAAGGTGTGTTTGGCTACTGATTCACTGTCTACACAAAGAAAGATTAAAGCTAAATGTAGAATTCAATGTGCATATCTGGAACTGTTGTTTTCTTTTTCATAACTGGAATGATCTTTCTGTAAATTGCTTTTTTAATCTGTCATACATTTTGAAGCATGGCAGTCATTTGAGAGTATACATATATATATATTTATTACACATATACATACTACATTGTATACTGTTTTCAATATTCTATACATGACAGATATCATACTTTTTTACTGGAGATTCCTGTCAGATAAGTTAATGTGATCAGTTTTTTTTAATAATTACTTTTGAAACATGTGGCTTTTTACTTTTTTCTAAAATGATACTTTGAGATTGAAAATATCATTTAAGAATTAAAAGAGCATACCTCTTACTGAAACTTGAATTTTTTCCAAAAAGAAAAATCTTATTAAAAAATCTTATCTTTATCCAGAAGCCAAGGAAGAAAGCTATGGAAAGTTCTAGCAACAGTGATAGTGATTCAGGCACATCATCAGACACGTCAAGTGAAGGCATTAGTAGTAGTGATTCAGATGACCTAGAGGAAGATGAAGAAGAAGATCAAAGTATTGAAGAAAGTGAAGATGATGATTCTGATTCAGAGACTGAAGCACAGCAGAAAAGTAACAACCAGGTAGGTATAAATTGTTTCATTGGGTGGTATCTGCACATTATTCATATTTAGGAATGAACTGGCTCATCTTAAGTCTCAAAGTCTATATAGTTTAAAGTTTATTATTGCCTTTAGTTCTTCCTTTTGCACAGAATGAAAAGGAGATAGAGAAACATTTTTAAAGGGACATTTTGTGAAGTTTTCAGTGAACTTTATATATTTATCAAACATTAGAAACACTTTTTTAAGGTGCCCTTTTTCTCCCCCATGATATACTGCTTGATGTTCTTTGTTTTAACAGATGTTAAGAAGTTGCCTTTTAATTTGTATCTACAGGTGCTATTACATGGTGTTTCAGACCCAAAAGCAGAAGGACAGAAAGCAACTGAAAAAGCCCAGGAAAAAAGAATTCACCAGCCATTACCTCTTGTGTCTGAATCCCAGACTCACTCATCATTCCAATCCCAGCAGAAGCAGCCTCAGGTTTTGTCACAGCAGCTTCCATTTATTTTCCAAAGCTCTCAGGCAAAGGAGGAATCTGTGAACAAACACACAAGTGTAATACAGTCTACGGGATTGGTGTCCAATGTGAAACCTTTATCTTTGGTAAATCAAGCCAAAAAGGAAACTTACACGAAACTCATAGTTCCTTCTCCTGATGTACTTAAAGCAGGGAATAAAAATACCTCTGAAGAATCTAGTTCTTTGACCAGTGAATTGCGTTCCAAACGGGTGAGTTGAAAATAATTTATATAAAAGAATTTTATTATTAGACAAAGAGCTATTATATAGTCTTACAATGTTTAAGTTTAAACTGAATTCTACTCTTAAATTTATACTTTCTTAGTCACCAGGAATAGAATATTCACACCAGAAAACTAAATTTCTGTGATTTTATATTTACCTACACACCTGTTTAACATACTTTTGTAAATGCAATCTTGTCATTTTTCCTAGGCTTAATAATTTAGCAGTAAGAGATAAATATATTTACACTGGACACTCCACAGTTACTTTTGTTTAGAATCAATTTCTTTTTTTTCTAATATTAGTATATTCTTTTTTAAAGAAATGAACTCTTGAATAATTTACCTCTATAGTTCTATAATTTATCAATTTTAAGCAAAAAAATCCTAAGAATTGTTTTCCTCTACCATTCTTAATGAATTATACAAAACACAAAATATCTTGAGTAAATTTACTTATACAAACCAGAACCACTCATCAGAAAATTTTTTCATATTTGTTTTTTTGCTGTTAATTTTATATTATTGTATAGTCTACAGTCATATGTTCAGAAGAATTCTAGTAATTAAATGATCAGTGCTTTTTATTCTTGAACTCACCAAAAAATATTCTGTTTGAACACAGTCGCCTGACTTTTGTTTATAAAAACCATCATTAGGCATCCTAATCATTGGAAAAGACTTACTGTTTTGCCAACCATTCATTATTTTAAGTGCTGCATATGTATTTAGTTATTGGATAATGACATCTGTAAGTGCCGCTAATAATATCATGTACATATTCATATTGTCAAGTTGAGATTCGTATGACTTAACTCACCCAAGATCACATGCTAGTTGGTGATGGAGCTGGACTTCAAACTTAGACTCTGTAACACTAGAGTCCTTGTTTTTAATCACTATGATACACTGCCTTTCTTTCTCCAAAAAAAAAAAAATCACAATGTTCTTGTCCATTGACTCTATTTTTTAAATTAATCTTTATTGGAGTTTATAGTTGATTTATAATGCTGTGTTAATTTCTGCTGTACAGCAAAGTAAATCAGCTATACATATATATATATATATATATATCTCCTCTTTTTTGGATTTCCTTCCCATTTAGGTCACCACAGAGTTCATAAAGTTCCCTGTGCTATATAGTAGGTTCTCATTAGTTATCCAGAGACAGCAATGGCACCCCACTCCAGTACTCTTGCCTGGAGAATCCCGTGGATGGAGGAGCCTGGTGGGCTGCAGTCCACGGGGTCACTAGGAGTCAGACATGACTGAGTGACTTCACTTTTACTTTTCACTTTCACGCACTGAAGAAGGAAATGGCAACCCACTCCAGTGTTCTTGCCTGGAGAATCCCAAGGTCAGGGGAGCCTGGTGGGCTGCCATCTCTGGGGTCGCACAGAGTCAGACATGACTGAAGCGACTTAGCAGCCGCAGCAGCAGCAGCATTAGTTATCTATTTTATACATACTAATGTATATGTGTCAATCCCAATCTCCCAGTTCATCCCACCTGCCCTTCCCCCATGGTATCCATATGTTTTTTACAGTGAAGAATTTGATGTGAAAGTGAAAGTCGCTCAGTCGTGTCTGACTCTTTGCGACCCCATGGGCTATACAGTCCATGGAATTCTCCAGGCCAGAATGCTGGAGTACGTTTACCAGCTAGCCACAAGAGAAGCCCAGGAATACTGGAGTGGGTAGCCTATCTCTTCTCCAGCAGATATTCCCAACTCAGGAATCAAACCAGGGTCTCCTGCATTGCAGGCGGATTCTTTACCCAACTAAGCTATCAGGGAAGAATTTAAGAACAAGGTCAAAGAAAAGTGAGGAAATAGAACTGTTTTGAGAATCTAAATGAGTAGTTCTCAAGCCTAGGTGTACATTAAAATCACCTGGAAAACTTTTAAAAAGAACTAACCATTTCAGAACAATTTAAAATCAGAATCTTTTGTGTTGAGATTGAGATATTGCATGTCTAAAAAGCATCCCAAGTGATTCAAATGTGCAACCAATAGGGTCTCCCACATTGCAGGCAGACGCTTTACCCTCTGAGCCAACAGGGAGGCCCCCAGTCTAAATGGAATGACGAGTGATATCAAAATATCACACATATGACAACTTGTAATGGACTGATAAGTTGTTAGGAGTTATTGGCACCACATTATTGACTCTCTTTGAAAAGTTAAGCAAGTTAAAAATTACTTTGCATTGGTTACTTTAATTTTTTCATGAATGTATATTCCACTTTAAGACAAATGAAGAGCCACATCAATAGTTACTTGCATTTTGAAAGTTTTCTTAATTTTTTAAGAGTTTCTTAAATGCCTATTTAAAGATTTTTATGTGGCATCTATTAGAAAGTCATTTATTAAACATTTGCTTTATAAATGTAGCCAAGCTAGACTTTCTACCCATGTGATCTTATGTAATCCTTACAAAATTGTGTGAGTTAAAGAAACTAAGACTCAGAGAGGTTAAGTCACTTTTCAACATCATATAACAAGTTACGAGAAGACAGATTTTTAAACCAAGATCATTCTGATTTCAAAACCCATGATAAAGGTGAAATAATTTGGTGTTTCTGAAATGATATGGTAGTTAGTGGGAAATGTTTTATGTGACTGCATATTCACAGTAGATTCAACTGTGAATGACTTTATCTATTTATTGGTATCAAGAATTGAGTTAAGGTCTTACCAGGTGGCACTAGTGGTAAAGAACCTGCCTGGCAATGCAGGAGACGTAAGAAACACAGGTTCTCAATGTATGACGAAAACCACTACAATATTGTAAAGTAATTAGCCTCCAACTAATAAAAATAAATGGAAAAAAAAAAAAAAAAAAAAGAAACACAGGTTCAATCCCTGAGTCATGAAGATCCCCTGGAGAAGGGCATGGCAACCCACTCCAGTATTCTTGCCTATAGAATCCCATGAACAGAGGAGTCTGGTGGGCTATAGTTCATAGGGTCACAAAGAGTCGGACATGACTGAAGTGACTTAGCAGAGAGCAGGCAGGCATTGAGTTAAAGGGTATTTTTATAATTCTCTTACATCAGCTTTCCTTCTTTATGTGACAGTCTAATATATTTAGAATTTTGCTTGATTTCTTATGACAGTTTCCATTATTTCACCCTTCCATGTATCTGCTTTCCACACTAGTTGATGATTTTCTTCAGTGTTATTTAATTTTTGGATCCTTTCAAACCTTATACTGTAGACATTTAATTTAAGTCAGTACACATTAATTGTAATAAAGACCAGGAGTTTTGCCTAGAAGACTTATTGTGGTCTCCAGAGAGTCAGGTAAAGACTAGGGGAGCAAGAGCTTAGAGGTAGGACAAGACTTTGCACCTCTGTCTTCTCATACTCCAATCACCCAAGGGGTATATTGAAGTAGCAAGACTTTTGCTACCATACAGGTCTCATTTTTCTCCCCTCCTACTTAATGCCCCACCCCTAATATCAAAAAGGATAACACATTTGCTGTAAAAGAGTAACTGATACTAGTCTTGGGATAAAATACAGTCTTTTTTGGTTATTTTAGAACACCTTCAGATGTCAATATATGAGAACTAATTCTTCAGAGTTATAGAATAAGAAGCAATTTCATAAAATTAAAATATGAAACATAAAATCAAGGGGAAAGTTATTGATTTTATGACTCTTGATCCTATATATTTGGAAGGAATATTAACTGACTATTAAAAATATTAACCGCCTATTAGAATGCAAAATTTTGTTCTAAGAAATGAAAATACATTAAATTTTTCTGCTGAAAATTTAAATGAGTATATATATAAAATATGAAATATTGAGTACATTATATATATATATACACTCATATACTATGCAATATTTATGTTTTATATAAATATTAAGTAAAATTTAGTATATTAAAATATTTTATGTAAAAGTTTGCTATAAAATTCTTTTTAAAAAGATAAACAATTATATAGTATAATATTCAATATTTTATTCACTGAATAAATACCAGTGAAGCCCTTTCTCTTTGTGAAGCATTGCCTTATGTACAAATATTATATTTCAGTCTTTGTTTACAAAAAGTTAACTTAATTTTCTAAACAAATACCATTAAGATAAGTTAAATAAGATAAAAAAGTTTATATGGGAATTGCTTAATGCTTATTAGTATTGGTACTTTAAAATATTTAGTAAGTCATTCTGTGTGGCATTCCATCTCCATTTATATTTATGAAATAACCCACCACAAGTCTTTGCTGACTTGCATATTAAGAGTCCAGGTCCAGTGCTGACAATACTGTTGATTTTAATTTCAAGGCAACCATTTTCATTGCAGAATTTTACCTTTCAAAATTTAACTTCCATTTCTATCAACTTCAGATATTTTAATCATTCTACTTTAGTTTTCTTTTTTACATTTTAGTTATACAAGTTTAATGAAATTCATATGATGTTATTCTTTTCATGAAGATCCTGATAGTCAAATAAATTTTTGTTGCTATTTACAGATGTAAATTTTTTGGTTTGATGGTTTACAAATGAATTTTTCCCAAAAAAGTATAATTTTTTCTAAACTGTTTTCTACATTCTTTCCAATGCTAATGTGCTAAAGACACGCCAAAGTAGATTCCACAGAACATTAAGCCAGCCTTTCTACTAACTTCAAATCATGGTTACTGTAGAAAACTACAGGATAGACTATCAGTGGGGACATAAAAGAGCTCAAGGATAGGAGAGATGAGTGCTTTAGGCTGGGACAAATATAGGAAACATCTTGAGTTGGATTTTGAATAATGAACAGGGTTTCATCAGCTTGAAATGTATTAGAGGAAGACATTTTATGCAAAGAAAATGATTATAACAGAATGTAGAGGCGATAAAAGTACTGTATGACATGCACTGGACATGGCCAATAGTCCAGTTGGACTACAGAGGTATGTTAGTGTCTACCTGAAGGTATGTTAGTGTCTACCTGAAAAGTAATTTGAATATCAGATATAAGTGTTTAAGGTTTATAAAGTTGGCAGTGGAGGACAAGGCACTAAAAGTTTTAACCAAAGAGCTAATATAAAATATAGATTATTTTATGAGAAAATTGCCCTTGGCATATGCATATGTTGGGAGTTGGGTAAGAAGTGATAGTATGGCTTAAATTTGAGCAGTATTTTAATGAAAGAATCCAAAACACATAGTATTAATGTGGCTGACTTGAAAAAAATAAAAGTAAAGATGTTTTTAAGGTTTCAAGTTTGGGTCACTGAGAAAAATGGAACTGCAGTAATAAGTAATAAGCAGTAAGGAAACATATTTTGAAGGGGAAAGACTTACTAAATTTTTAAATATATTATGTCTAGCCAAGGTTCAGCAATCAACTAGTCATTACTTCTACTACGTTTATAGCACTTAAATATCATGATTTAAATTTGTATATGATTAGTTGTTGTTAGATACAGAAGGCAAATAAAGTAGTCTTTATTCTTATGATACATTATTGTTTTGTATTCTACTTTATGTTTCAACAGGAACAATATAAACAGACATTCCCAGCTCAGTTAAAGAAACAGGAGTCATCTAAGAGCCTAAAGAAGGTTATTGCAGCTTTGTCAAATCCAAAACCAACCTCTAGTTCACCAGCACATCCAAAACAAACATTAGAAAACAGCAACCCTAATCCATTCTTGACAAATGCACTTTTAGGTAATCACCAACCAAATGGAGTTATTCAAAGTGTCATTCAAGAAGCTCCTCTGGCACTTACTACCAAAACTAAAATGCAGAGTAAGATTAATGAAAACATTGCTACTGCAAGTAGCACCCCTTTTTCCTCACCTGTAAATCTGAGTACAAGTGGAAGAAGAACCCCTGGCAATCAGACAACTGTCATACCCTCTCCCTCTCCCGTACTGCATAGTCAAGGGAAGGAAAAAGCAGTTAGCAACAATGTAAACACAGTAAAAACACAGCATCACTCTCATCCTGCAAAATCTTTAGTGGAACAGTTTAGAGGAACAGATTCAGACATTCTTAGTAGCAAAGATTCTGAAGACTCCAATGAGGATGAAGAGGAAGATGATGAAGAAGATGAGGAAGATGATGAAGATGATGACTCTGATGACAGCCAATCAGGTTGTTTTCTGTTCTTAAGTTTAAAGTGTTTCTCTAAATGCTATGTGAACCAAAACATTTTAAAGAGGTTCTTCAAATCCAGAGATTTGAAATTGTTGTCATTCACTGTTTCATGCAGCTCTGTGCCTTTCTGAGTGGTAAAGTAAAGGAATAATTGAGATTGAAAATCCTAAATTAAGTTCTCAACTTATTCATTTAACACTAAACAAATAACTTTAAAATGAATATAAGTAATTCATGAATTAAGAACTTGAGGAACTTGCTTAATTTTCATTTAATTCATGACCACTCATTTGTCCTTTCTTTTTCATCTCTTCTGCTACTTGTTAAATTGTGTCACTGGATATTTTGAAGAAAGGCAAAATTTTAGTCAGTCATTCAGAAAATACTAAAAAGCCTAAATCTCTATGAATATTTCTTAGCACCACAGAATTTATTTAATAACATATAGAGTACCCCTGATATTATTTCTTTTTTTTTTAATTTCTTGTTTTATTTCCCTTTAACTCTCTTTCTTGTTCCACAGAAGATTGAAAATATAAAATATAAGATAGTTTAAAATTTAAATACAAAGATGAGATACATATTATAAAAGTTTTTGAATTTGTTCCTGGTCAGCCATGAATCCAATTTTAAATTTTCTATCTACCAATATAAGTAGGAAAATATAGTCAATTATACAATTTTTAAAATATCTATAAGGTAAAAACAACCTACTTGCTCAGGGTAAGAACAACTTTTCCTAATAATATATTTTCCTAGGGTTCCCATAAACACAACTTTGCATGATACATAGTATTAATAGCTTTCAAAGGTAACTTTTATAATGAACTTGGATGTGGGTAGCTAGTACTACACAAAACACAATTCCACAGAAGCTGTTGTTCTGGGAACCATTAAAATACAGGCCTAGTATCATTTGTGTAATTAGATTTTACATGTCTATAGGAGTGATGCAAATTTATAGGACTACATTGCTAGCACAAACTTAAATTATTAAATCATTAAATTATTCCCCACAGTTTTTTCTGTAATACTTTTGTGAAGCCTGAGAAGCTTGACAAGTAGAATAACTGCAGCCCCAAAGCCAAGTATCTCTCCACCAAAATTGTTTTTTTTTGTCTCAAAACCCAGAAGAACGGATGATGATAGTTCCAGAGTTCTCTTCTGCATAGTGAACCTTGTGTACGTCTCAGATTATTGAAATCTATTGATTTAAATAATAAAATTCTGTTTCCTCTATCTTTATTAAATTGAAAATAATTTTGAAAACTCATCATATGAATAGTGTCATGTGAGAAGAACTGTTTTATGATTCAAGTTTTATGATTTGAGTAAAACAGTTACTTTAATGAAGAATTTTAAGGATTTATGGCCTACATACCTTGTGCTCAAGTAATTTTTACATTTACTCTTCAGGAAAGTTGCTCATTTGAGTTCTCAAGTCACAAATGCTGATTCCTGAACTATTCCATTTAGATACAAACTGCAAACTGTTGGTGATTATCTAGTTATAATATACAAATGCTTCTTTTACTTCCCAGAATCAGATAGTAATTCAGAATCAGATACAGAAGGATCAGAAGATGATGATGATGATGATAAAGACCAAGATGAATCAGATAGTGATACTGAAGGAGAGAAAACTTCAATGAAACTGAATAAAACAGCTTCCTCTGTCAAAAGCCCTTCCATCAGTCTCACAGCTCACTCAACACCTCGTAACCTCCACATAGCAAAAGCCCCAGGCTCTGCTCCTGCTGCCTTATGTTCTGAATCCCAGTCACCTGCTTTTCTTGGCACACCTTCTTCCACACTTACTTCAAGTCCACACTCTGGTACCTACACTTTATTTTTATTATTGTGAAGTAGAAATCAAACCATAACAAGAATTCTTATTTATACAGTGTTCTGGGGATGATCTCATTGGAATCAAGGGCTAGATTTTAGGTTGGCTGAGAAAGGTCAGTGTGTATTTTCAAAGGATATGACTCACTAGCATTTTTTTCTCTGTGCTTCCAATTTAAAAACCTGATTGATGGCAGCTCTTGAGTTTAAATACTCTCCTGTTTTTATGTTCAGTTTATACTTCTAGAATTTAGAATTTGACCGACAGTTGGATTTTTTTTTTTTTTTTTTTTTGGTAATTTACAAAAATGAACTCACTTTTTTTCTTAAGATACAATTGCATGTCTGCCCAACACATAGCCAATGTCATTTTTATTAATGAGTAGTAGTAGTATTTTATTAACATGCCATATCTTTTTTCCTATTTGATCTTTTATAAACTACTAGAGTCTTCTTTAAAAAGTTTTGCATTATTACTCTCAAATGAATCTCTATTCTCAATTCAATAACTAAGAAAATATAAGCATGTATTGTAAAATAATATATTGTTTTACATATGTCACTCTTTTCTTGAAAATTCCTAGTTTTGTTTTCATTTGCCATGAACCAATATGATATCCAACTTATTTAAGATGTATCCATTTGTATTGGTGAAGCTTGATCTTTGTCATGAAAAATTTTCTATATAATTATAATCCTATTCTTTGTACTTTAATTAAAGTGCTTTTGACTATGGATTTATATGGCTATAGAAGTTATATTATTTTTAAATGTATGATCCAACTGTTGAAATTTTTCAACATCTTAAAACTCATATTTTCAAAGAAAACAACTGTACATAGTTTCCTGAAACCTCTATCTGCTATTTTCCTCCTACTTCTTTAGCAATTTCCATAATAACAAGATGAGAGGAAAGCTTTACCTTTTTACTTTCATCGTCTTTTCATTAGAGAGAAATAAATACTAGCTATTATGTCATACAGGCCAAAGGAAAAAAAACCCTCTACTTTATACAGTGTTTTTTTTTAAATAATCTAAAAATAGTGTACAAACTGTAGAAATACACTAAATAATTCAAGTCATTCAGACACATTATTTGAAGAAAAGTTTCAAAACTATCAAAAATTTTTCATGTATATAAATAAATCTTTTATGTTAACTGGTTGAATTTTCTTGAAGGCACTTCCAAAAGGAGAAGAGTAACAGATGAACGTGAACTGCGTATTCCTTTGGAATATGGGTATGCAAAATAAGATTTATCTTTATGCTTTTGCCTCACATATTTATGCATGTTTTGATTTCTCATTCTCTACTATTACTAACAGAAGTGAATATACTGCATAGTATTTATTAAAGCAGAAGAGCAAAGCTGATATATCTGAGGTTGATATATCAGAAAACTAAAATTAAGCCTAACTGCTGGGTTTAGGTATGGTAGAGCTGGGATGGGATCATATGCACCCAGGTGGGAATGGGATTGAAAAAGTTGCAAGAGCAAATCATTTGGCAAAGAGCACGGACACAGTTAAGAGTGTCAGAAGTTGTTGTGAAGATTTAAAGGATGGTAAAGACCACTGTAGGTAAAACTGAAAGATTTGAGCAGAGTTTGGCTAAAATGGGTGAATAGGAACTGAGAATTTTCACACTGCAAGTTCGTGATCCCCAAAGAGCAGAGAGCCAAATTTGCTCCATTTTTCTCATTTAAATCTTTTCAAATATAAATTCAGTACACCCTGACACATTACTGAACATGTCCAAATACCCAAAGTCATGCCAGTGTGATTTCTTAAAATTTTAATATTTAATATTTGTAAACTGAATTTGATTAACTTTAGTTGAATTACTTAGTAAAAATCTCCATTATTTTAATAGTAAATGTATCTGAATTGTATGGCTGGCTGTTTATATTTTCTTTGTATATTTTGTGTTGTATAAAGAGCATGTGTTCTTAAATTTTTTTAATTTTTATTTTTAAACATTTTCTTAAAACTAAGTATGTTATAACCCTCATTTCTATTATGTGTAGCTGGCAGAGAGAGACAAGAATAAGAAACTTTGGAGGTCGCCTTCAAGGAGAAGTAGCATATTATGCTCCATGTGGAAAGAAACTTAGGCAGTACCCTGAAGTAATAAAGGTACATACTTTTCACCAAATAATACACATTTGGTGCCTATTAAGCTTGCTTATGGGAAAAAAGTACACTCCTTTCTCAAAGTTCTTTAACACAAAATATTCTCTCATGTGAGACTAATGAATGTGCTTAACCTAAATTGATCTCCTGTTAAATCCATAGCCATTTAATAGAGTATACAAAACCATAGTGTTCTGAAGATAGCTATACATCAAAGCTGGGTTGTAATTATTAAAACCTGAAGTGGAAAAATATGTGATTTTTTCAGTATCTCAGCAGAAATGGAATAATGGATATCTCAAGGGACAATTTCAGCTTCAGTGCAAAAATAAGAGTGGGTGACTTCTATGAAGCCAGAGATGGACCGCAGGTATCCACTTTTTAAAAAGTACAGTCTTTGAACCAAAAAGTAGTAACATAACCTAAATGAAGTAAATATCACTACACTCTGGAACATTGCCTTTTGTTAGTTAATTCTTATAGCTATACATATAACTTTGTGGTAGACACTCAAAAGGCCTCAATATACTGTGTTTCAATAACGAGCTTTGACTTTTTTTTTCAAATTTAAGTAAACTTTTTCTTGTTTGTTAATTCTGTCATTAATTTTGATAGTTTATACAGGTATAGAAGTATCTGCATGTTCATGAGAAATATAGGAAAACATTAGTTCCCTGAAAGGTAAACATTAAAAAAAATTTGAATAGGAAAAAATTGTTATAAAGTCAGTCTAAGAGAGGATAGATATGCCTTAGTTTTGGGGAGGAACTTATCCATTTTATTATGCCATACTACATGATCCATTGTCACAAGTGTGATAATTTTTTGATGGCATTAGGGGGAATTCCACAATAGTGGATGAATGAAATTTCTCCTTTATGCAGAAATTGAATTTTTAAATAATTATACACATTTATGAAAATATCACCACAGCTCTCTTTGAATTTAAGGGTTAACTACATAACTTCACCAATCACCACAAAGAGCTTACCACTAAAACCTCATTTCCTGTGTTTCCTTTAATGATTTGCCTTTATTCCATACTTAGACTCAGCTACATGTGCTTATTATTCCCTCTATTTGCTCCATTGAAAGAAGTCCTAGTTGTGGAGTGAGGAGATCTAGATTCTTGTTAATCCATGAAATAGTTTTATGATTTCAAACAACAAAATCATGCCCTCTTTTACTTCAGTTTCTTTATCTGCAGAATAGAGACAATCATAATTTTTCTTCTGCCTCATAGAATGATGATGAAGTTAAAATGAAATCATATGGATGAAAATGTTTTAAAGGGTTAAAATGCTCAGCCAACTGAAGTTGGTATTTTCCTTCTTGATTGAACTTTTCTTTTTTCCCACTATAATGCCCAGAAAGATTTTCTTCTGGTGATTAATATTTTCTATTATGAATGGGCAAGTTTTTCCATACTATCTTACCCTTTATTTTGTAGTTATAGAAGTAGAAAATTACTTCCTAATTCTTCAAGAGATTCATTCATTTTGAGCGCTCAAAGATTAAGGGAGTTTTCCAAGATTACACAATCTTAACTAGGTAGAAACCTAACTGAACTCAAGATTTCTGACAAGTGATCTTTTACATTCATTGTGTAACCTATTTTCCATTGTCATCCACTACTTTTTATGAAAAAAGTTATGTCCACATCCACTTGTTTCTTTACTAGTAATTCTAAAATGCCAAAACAAATTCATCTGAGGTTTAACTTGTTTATAGAAATATATTCTAGGATTTTTCTTTTTTCAACTTAAAAATCTGTGTAACTTACCAGATTCTTAGAATTTTAGTGAACTACAGCATTATTTTATACACTTCATATATAGCAGAATAGTTTTTAAGTCACACACATTAGAAGGCAATAATGACTTTATTTAAAAATTCCCATTTTTTAATCTTTTCATTCATGTTAATATAACTTTATCTCATTTAAATATGCCAATGATATCTTTATATTTTTAAGTTAAATAGAATTTTATTCTAGAGAGGAAGGCTAATTGCTATCCAGTACATAAAGGACTTTAGTTTTGTATCAGTGGTAATTAGACTCAATCTATGAAGCCTTATTAGGCAGAGCAGAATGTTCTTTGACATCCATTCACTTTTTATTAAACATAATCAGTGTTTTCCAAAGCATATTGTCTTATTGAGGGGTCAGTTCCAGTCAAGGAAATATGATAAATTATTAGATTGAGACTACGTTAAGTTGCCAACATTTCAGCAGCCTGCTAAGGGAAAATATTAGCAATTTTGAGAATACTTCTCTCAACTTAAAAAATTTAAGTTGGCTTTATTTCAGGATACTTTTAGAGAACAACAATTAAAGGTAAGTAATCAAAATAAGTTTACTTCATTAGAGATGCGTGTAGTTAAAGAAACATACTTTTTTAGTGTATGATCAATATGTATAAGCATATGGTTAATTAGAAATGTATATAATTATATAGTAATTTTCTGTGAAAATGAATAAAGATTGCATATCTTTGTTAAAGTATCTTAATGTGCAATAATTTTGATTGGCTTAAATTTTGTAGAAGATATAAAATATAATTTGAGATACTGTTTTCAAATAGTGATGATCTGTATATGTTTATAATAGTTCAGCCTTTATACAAATTGTATAAATGGTCTGATGGTGTACGTAAATTGAAAAATAAAACTATGCATATTGAAAGACTAAAAGGAAATGTGTCAAAAATTTAATAATGGATGTAATGGTTGGTGGTACAGTGAATCTTATTTTACCTGTGGTCTTACATGTTTCATAATTCCTAAAATTTGCTTGTGTTGCATCTATAATGTGAAAAACAATTTCCTATTTAAAAATAATTACATCTACCCATATAATCCAAAAAAGCTAAGCATTCAGTTTTCCAAATACATGGAAATTTTACATAATGATTTTAAATGTTACTGCTACAGTTTTCCAAGCTACATATTTTTATTTTGGGTGTTTGATTACAAATGTAATGCTATATTTATAGATTCATCAGAATTCTTAATCACTCTCCTAATAAAATATTTGCATTGGAAAATATATTTCTTCCATCATATTTTTTCTGTTAAACTTACCAAAACCAAAAATCAACTGCAACAGCAGTTCTATAAGTTCTAATTTTGTTCAAGATATTTCAAAAACTTGTAGCAGTGGTACTCTATGTTTTGCAGATGAAATTTAGGAAATGATAATTTTTGTTAGACAATAATATCTGCAATAGAGGAGCAGAGTTATTTTATGTTAATTATTTTGACAAAGTATTTCTGAGCTTAAGACAATAATTATACATATATTTATTAACAGCAAACTTTTTTGAAAGTATTGATTCATTGTGTATAGTACAGTAAAACAAGAGGTCTGAGAGTTCATGGGGCTTCCCTGGTGGCTTAGGGGTAAAGAATCTGCCCACCAATGCAGGAGACATGGGTCCAATCCCTGGGTCAGGAAGATCCCCCGGAGAAGGAAATGGCAACCCACTCCAATATTCTTGCCTGAGAATCCCATGGACAGAGGAGCCTGGTGGGCTACATTTCATGGGGTTGCAAAAGGGTTGGATATTTAGTGACTAAACAGCAACACCATGAGAGTTCATATTTATTGAAATTTAGTAAACTCATCCTTAAATGACAATCTAACGATTACCTTTTTAAAATTAAAAAGAGAAGCCATTAATTAAATAAGAAAGGGTTGACACAAGAAATTGGAGTATGTGTGTGGGGGGTGCGGGGGGGTGGGGTTAATCTATCCATTATCAGTTTTGTTTATTTCAGTCTACAAATGTGGTGAGAGATTTGTAAAACTGGCTTACTTGTTAGTATCTACTGATCTTAGATACCAAACACTTCCTACCAGCTTCTATAAAAATCATGATTTTAAGGATGATAGATTTCATGAAATAAAATGAACCATACACTCTTTATAGTCACATGATACAATAGCCTGGCTACCTTCTTTATGAAATTGTTTTAACTATTTTAGCAAGTGAAACTCCTTCGAAAAGACAATACAGTAAATATATTTCTTGTAGACTTCTCCATCATATTCTAAGGATTGGTTGGACCTAATGTCTTATGATTGTTTTCATTTTATTTTGTTTTTGAGTGTCAGAATAAAAGACAGTAAGGTTGAGCTAGGCAGATTTTGGTAAATATAAAATAGGGTTTATTTACCTTAATACGATTGTTAGGTAAAGAGGTAAAAAATATTCACATTTTTGTTAGAAATGCAATCTACATTGCAAAGTATTTTTGTGAATTGTAGAAAACAAAACATTTAAGCATAAATATAACAGTTAATTTTTTAAACCAGGAAGTTCACCAGCAAAGGTCAATGAATGTCTACTGTATTCAGGCCAAAAAAGCAAAGAAAAGAAAATATGCAAAGAAGGATCAAGTTAAAAGTGACTTAGGAAAAACATGTTGCTTTCTCTATTTGAGATGTACTTTTTTAAGATTTTTTTAAAATGTGTTACTTCCTTGAGAAAAGAGAAGTATCATTCATACTGAAAAGAGCCTTTTTCTTATTAAATAAATTAATATTTTGGCAGATGTTTAATGTTCCAGGCATTTTTTTCCCAAATAAATTTTCCCTAAATAGATTTTCCGTAAAGAAAGTATGAACACATATCAGTACAGAAATGAACTTGAAGGCTTTGCTTTCAGGATAAAACTAATATACATAGAGAAACTGAAGAGTACAAAAGAAATAGAAGTTATGATCACTGGTTTAAAGAAGCTTATTGTCTGGGAAAGATAAAACACTAAACAAAATGTTCTTCAGCTATAGTCAGGGTTTTGTTGATAAGGAATAAGGGGAGACTTCACAATAAAGTGGGCAACATAGAGCCACGGGCCAGACTGCAATGTAGTTAATTTTTTCAAATGCTTTAGTTTAGTTGCTCAACCGTGTCCGACTTTGCAACCCTGTGGAATCTAGCACGCCAGGCCTCCCTGTCAATCACCAACTCCCAGAGTTTACCCAAACATGTCCATTGAGTCATTGATGCCATCCAACCATCTCTTCCTCTGTCATCCCCTTCTCCTCCCGCCTTCAATCTTTCCCAGCATCAGGGTCTTTACATATGAGTCAATTCTTAGCATTGGGTGGCCAAAGTATTGGGCTTTCAGCTTCAACATCAGTCCTTCCAATGAATATTCAGAACTGATTTCCTATAAAATGGACTGGTTGGATCTCCTAGCAGTATAAGGGACTCTCCAGAGTCTTCTCCAACACCACAGTTCAAAAGCATCAATTCTTCGGTGCTCAGCTTTCTTTATAGTCCAGCTCTCACATCCATACATGACTACTGGAAAAACCATAGTCTTGACTAGACGGACCTTTGTTGGCAAAGTAATGTCTCT